CTTTCTCCTCCCCCTGCCCTCACGCGATTCATTCACTCGATTCAATCGTAAATTGGGAAAAATGGCGTATTCTGGTAATTCAGAACAAACATCAGCTTGCTTCTATGCAACTTTTGAAAGACGCGCCCATCGAGAGACTTAGGTAGAAGGTGCTGGCAAGTGCTACCTCTCGTGCTACCTTCGTATGCCTTCGCCCCTCGCTGAGAAAAACAAGGGTTTCGGACAAGATTTTTTAGTGTAAACAATCGCCGGATTATTTTCTATCTGATTTAGTACGCTGCGTGCATGTTCAGGAAAATGATTTCAAATTTTGGCTTATTGCTTGATCATGAGTTTTAACTCAAGGATATGAAGTCAGAAACAGCAAAACAACCTCAATTCCTGTTCCCAAAGCCATTTTTGATTCCCGCAACATAGACCAAAAGCTCAGTTCCCCAATTTTTGCAAAGACAGAGTCAAAAGTTCTTCGCATGTTTACAACTTGAACACAAAAAACAGTGAAAGTTTCTTTAAAAAATGAATAGGAAATTTGAAATTTAAGAAAAAAAAAACTGATGACAAAGATGCTTACCAACTATACGCAACATCAACATACATAGCTGCAAACATTCCAACATGCGAACCTGCGGGGCCAACTTCTGGCTGAAAACAATCATTCAAATGCTATTTTTGATTTAAAAAAAGTTGCTTTGGAGAAGAGCCAAATGAGAATAGGTGGTGGGAGCAGATTATCGGACGCCAGGACCTAAGCAATACAGTTCGAGCAGTGGAAGCTGATGGAATAACTGGGTTATCTCTGCAGAGCTCGGTGAATGGAATAAACTCGGAGGCGAGAAAAATGAGGAAAAAAGCGAGAAAAACAGAACAGTGAAACAGCTACTCATCCAAGCCTCATGTCAACACTGTCCCAATGCGGTGCCCTTATTTACAGCATAATAAAAATATTTTCATACCTTGTAGGGTACAAAAATCGCACTCGCTAAATATCCACCAATTCCGGAGACCATATAAAGCAGTGATATGCGGGCCCAGCCAAGCAATTTTTCCAAATCTCGCATGTAGAAAATCTGTATGAATATTGTCCAGCAACAGTGCAAAATACTGCAAAACAATAAGTGAAAAAGAAAAACCCGAAAATACATCAATTTTTGTGTAACCATTGTTTTTGCGACCGTTGAAGCCAATGCAGTAGTCTAGCTGTACGGGTACACTGGACGTAGAAAAAAAAGATTTTTGTCTGCATTCGCAGCACAATTACACTCGCCGAGGGCCGTAGCAGCCATCAAGAAGCTTGTACAGGAAAAACGACAGGGCCAGCATAGACAGTGTGAAATGCGGGGCAATTCTTTGTGTTCAACAGAAAGGAACCGAAGAAAGCTAGTGGGCTGAGCGTCAGGTGATGCAACTTAAGTGGCAGGTGATGCCACTTATTTATATTATTGCTTTATCTAGCCCATTCTAACAAAACAATTTAAATTTCAATTAAATTCATACTAATTAACACAATCGTCGTAATGACGAGGTCCAATTGTGGTAATGGTAAGAAATATATACGAATCAATAGACCGAAACATTTCTTACCGTTAAAAAATTTCCAACATTTTATTCTCCTTTTCTTCTTTTAACATAAAAATATCTTATCTTATCAAGTAGCAGCAACTGCAAAGCCTACTGATGATGCGAGGTCACGTTATGAGGGAAGGAGTGCCAAGAAAGTCAGGAGAATCGACACGAGGATATTATACTAGTGATATTACTGCGATTTTCAGATATAAGACGGGCGCAGCAATGTCAGTCCTTTTAATCCCAAGCTTCACACTCACAGTTATTACTTTACCGCTTTTTTTTACATATTTTCTACCTCTTTGCAGAGG